AAAAATTTACTTGTGTCCAGAAGAAAGCTCAGCTTAAATGTCAAACCTGTCAAGACTGACAGCTCTCCCTCAGGGCTCTGAGCCCTGCACTGACCTCTCCTCCCCTGTCTCTTTACTCATACACACACACTGAGCTCAAATACACATACACACACATACACACAGAGACAGACGTGCACACACACACACACATGACTATCTCCTCTCTCTCTCCCAGGTGTAATAGTAATGGTAAATGAGGTGTGTAATTTGCGTGTGATGTGTAACCGTGCAGACACCCATTTCTCCCATCACAGGCAGGAGCCTCATTCATCATAACAGGAGCCTCATTCATCATAACAGGTGGCACTGATTCACTGGCACTGATGATAAAATATAGCCAGAATAAAACAAATAAAACCCTGAGAGAAAGAGACAGAGGGAGGGATATCACTTTGGCACTGTATAACTTCATGAAACTGTCAGAATAACTCTGTTCCATCCATTATCCATGCTCTCCCATTAGGCAAAAATACTAATTAGCCAGCTAACTGCACAACGATGAGACGTTACCCTCTCCTCTCTAATCAGTTATGACGATGGATCATCCAGTCACTCTAATTCCTCTCCTCTCATTACCAACTCATATACCTGTCTGCCTCCCTCACACAGTACACTCTTAGAAAAAAGGGTTCCAAAAGTGTTCTTTGGCTGTCCCCATAGGATAACATTTACATTTTAGTCATTTAGCAGACGCTTTTATCCAGAGCGACTTACAGTTAGCGCATACATTATTTTATCGAACCCACAACCCTGGCGCTGCAAACGCCATGCTCTACCAACTGAGCTACATCCCCTGCCGGCCATTCCCTCCCCTACCCTGGACGACGCTGGGCCAATTGTGCGCCGCCCCATGGGTCTCCCGGTCGCGGCCGGCTACGACAGAGCCTGGATTCGAACCAGGATCTCTAGGGGCACAGCTAGCACTGCGATGCAGTGCCTTAGACCACTGCGCCACTCGGGAGACCCTTTTTGGTTCCAAGTAGAACCCTATGTGGAACGGGTTCTACATGGAACCGAATAAGGTTCTACCTTGAACCTAAAAGGGTTCCTCAAGGGTTCTCCTATGGGGAGAGCCGGAAAACCCTTTTAGGTTCTAGATAGCACCTTCTTTTCTAACAGTGTCCTGGAGCTACTGAAAGGTCCTCAGTGTCCTCTTACTGTCATTTACTGTCCTGAACTAAACGGTTGGATGAGTGTGTCCCTGCATGTGCATATATACTGTATGTGTGTTTGAGAGAGAAAGGATGTTTGCAAACCCTGGCTGCCCTTGTGATTTGAGGATTATCTGTGGAGACAGTGGAAAGTGGAGTATGCATGGATTGTCACATTGTTTCAGTAACCAACAGAGACTAACAATAAGCACTCAGAGACAGAGCGACAGACAGACAGATAGACAGAGTAGGAGACAGAGGGTCAGACAGAGACAGGGTCAGACAGAGAGACAGAGACAGACAGAGAGACAGAGACAGACAGAGAGACAGGGACCGACAGAGAGACAGAGACAGACAGAGAGACAGGGACAGACAGAGAGACAGAGACGGACAGAGTAGGAGACAGAGGCAAACACAGAGACAGTGACAGGGACAGAGAGAGACAGGGACAGACAGAGAGACAGGGACAGACAGAGCGACAGAGACAGAGGCAAACACAGAGACAGTGACAGGGACAGAGAGAGACAGGGACAGACAAGAGAGACAAGGACAGACAGAGAGACAGAGACAGACAGACAGAGATAGACAGAGAGACAGAGACAGACAGAGAGACAGAGACAGACAGAGAGACAGAGACAGAGCGACAGCGAGAGAGACAGAGACAGGCAGAGAGAAAGAGACAGACAGAGAGACAGATAGAGAGACAGCGAGAGAGTCAGACAGCGAGAGAGAGAGAGAGAGAGAGAGAGAGAGAGAGAGAGAGAGAGAGAGAGAGAGAGAGAGACAGAGACAGCGAGAGAGAGACAGACAGAGAGACAGACAGACAGAGAGACAGCGAGAGAGAGACAGACGGAGAGACAGAGAGAGACAGACAGAGAGACAGAGAGACAGAGACAGAGAGAGACAGACAGAGATACAGAGACAGAGAGACAGATAGACAGAGAGAGACAGAGAGACAGAGACAGAGAGACAGAGAGAGACAGAGAGACATAGACAGAGACAGAGAGACAGAGACAGAGAGAGACAGAGAGCGACAGAGAGAGACAGAGACAGAGAGACAGAGACAGAGAGAGACAGAGAGAGACAGAGACAGAGAGAGACAGAGAGAGAGAGAGACAGAGAGACAGAGACAGAGACAGAGAAAGACAGAGAAAGACAGAGACAGAGAGACAGCGACAGACACAGAGAAAGACAGAGACAGAGACAGAGAGACAGAGACAGAGACACAGAGACAGAGAGACAGAGAGACAGAGACAGAGACAGAGAGACAGAGAGACAGAGAGAGACAGAGACAGAGAGACAGACTGTGCCTCAGAGCAGATGTTTCAGTATTAGAACATAATACCAGGTATCTGTGTGTCTCTAATGACCACAAATCCTGCTGCTTTTCATTTAAAAACAGTTCAAAGTTAACTTTGTTGAAAGTGCTGTTACATATGTTGAAATTGAGAATTCCTCTAAATAAACTGTGTGAGAAGAGCTACTTTAACTCTAATTGGTTACATATCAGAGAGAAGGGGACAGATGAACATGTGCTCTGGGGAACACCATCTCTTCACAGTGGAGAATCTTCCTGTTTGAACACACTCTGAAGAGCCTCCCAGACCACCGGCTAGAATATACAAACAACAGATGTTGGATAATACACAGGATAATGTGTGTGTGTGTGTGTGTGTGTGTGTGTGTGTGTGTGTGTGTGTGTGTGTGTGTGTGTGTGTGTGTGTGTGTGTATGTGTGTGTGTGTGTGTGTAGGGAAGGATGAGGGTCTCTCAGTAACTACAGTATTTAACCAGAAACCCTAGACCCACACCAAATTTGCATACCGCTCCAACAGATACACAGATGATGCAATCTCTATTGCACTCCACACTGCCCTTTCCCACCTGGACAAGAGGAACACCTACGTGAGAATGCTATTCATTGACTACAGCTCAGCGTTCAACACCATAGTGCCCTCAAAGCTCATCACTAAGCTAAGGATCCTGGGACTAAACACCTCCCTCTGCAACTGAATCCTAGACTTCCTGACGGGCCGCCCCCAGGTGGTAAGGGTAGGTAACAACACATCTGCCACACTGATCCTCAACACGGGGGCCCCTCAGGGGTGCGTGCTCAGTCCCCTCCTGTACTCCCCTCCTGTACTCCCTGTACTCCAACACCATCATTAAGTTTGCCGACGACACAACAGTAGTAGGCCTGATCACCGACAACGATGAGACAGCCTATAGGGAGGAGGTCAGAGACCTGGCCGTGTGGTGCCAGGATAACAACCTCTCCCTCAACGTGACCAAGACAAAGGAGATGATTGTGGACTACAGGAAAAAAAAGAGGACTGAGCACGCCCCCATTCTCCTCGACAGGGCTGTAGTGGAACAGGTTGAGAGCTTCAAGTTCCTTGGTGTCCACATCACCAACGAACTATCATGGTCCAAACACACCAAGACAGTCATGAAGAGGGCACGACAAAGCCTCAGGAGACTGAAAAGATTTGGCATGGGTCCTCAGATCCTCAAAAAATTCTAAAGCTGCACCATCGAGAGCATCCTGACTGGTTGCATCACCGCCTGGTATGGCAACTGCTTGGCCTCCGACCGCAAGGCACTACAGAGGGTAGTGCGTACGGCCCAGTACATCACTGGGGCCAAGCTTCCTGCCATCCAGGACCTCTATACCAGGCGGTGTCAGAGGAAGGCCCTCAAAATTGTCAAAGACTCCAGCCACCCTAGTCATAGACTGTTCTCTCTGCTACCGCACGGCAAGCGGTACCGGAGTGCCAAGTCTAGGTCCAAAAGACTTCTCAACAGCTTCTACCCCCAAGCCATAAGACTCCTGAACAGCTAATCATGGCTACCCGGACTATTTGCACTGCCCCCCCACCCCATCTTTTTACGCTGCTGCTACTCTGTTAATTATTTATGCATAGTCACTTTAACTCTACCCACATGTACATATTACTTAAACTACCTCAACTAGCCGGTGTCCCCGCACATTGACTCTGCACCGGTACCCCCCTGTATATATAGCCTCCCTACTGTTATTTTATTATACTTCTGATCTTTTTTTCTCAACGCTTTTTTGTTGTTTTATACTACTTTTTTATTTTAAAAAAATGCACTGTTGGTTAAGGGCTGTAAGTAAGCATTTCACTGTAATGTCTGCACCTGTTGTATTCGGCGCATGTGGCCAATAAAATTTGATTTGATTTGATTTGATTTTACTTAATCACAAACACACACACAGTGATAGTTCATGGATAGTGGTGTATTTACTGGTTGTTGATGAAGGCGTATTTGTCGATGGTCTCTATGACAGACTTGAAGGTGATCTTGGAGGTCAGAGTGTAGCCATGCTGGACCATGGGCTCTCCATCAGGACCATCCCAACAGTCCACTACAGATAGACAGAGAAGGAGAGATGGGGATAGAGAGAGAGAGAGGGAGAGGGATAGACAGAGAGAGGGAGAGAGACGGAGAGAGAGAGAGAGAAGAGAGGGAGGAGAGAGAGAGAGAGAGAGAGAGAGAGAGAGAGAGAGAGAGAGAGAGAGAGCGAAGAGAGAGAGAGAGAGGAGAGAGAGAGAGAGCGAGAGAGAGGGAAGGATGGGAGAGGGAGGCGGTATATGAGAGAGGGAGGGGGGAGGGAGGGATATGAGAGAGGGATCGTGGGTGAGAAGGTGTGTGTGCGTGTGCATATATCAGCATGTGTGTGTGTGTGTGTGTGTGTGTGTGTGTGTGTGTGTGTGTGTTGTGTGTGTGTGTGTGTGTGTGTGTGTGTGTGTGTGTGTGTGTGTGTGTGTGTGTGTGTGTGTGTGTGCCCCACCTTCCACACAGCGGCAGCCAGTCTGTAGTACCCAGGCGTACATGTCTGTCTTGGAGTGAGACAGCAGCTGGTCTCCTGTCAGGTAGGTGTTATGAGACGAGGAGATGTAGTAGTCACACAGAGGCCGATCCATGTCCTGGTTCACCTCATGATGTTGAGGGTTAAACACATCACAGGTGGGGCTGCGCATGAAACTGGTGAAACCTGGACACAGACAGACAGACAGACAGACAGACAGAAACAGACAGACAGACAGACAGACAGACAGACAGACAGACAGACAGACAGACAGGACAGACAGACAGACAGACAGACAGACAGGAAGACAGACAAAACAGGACAGACGGGACAGACAGACAGACGGGACAGGAAGGACAGACAAACAGACAGACAGACAGACAGACAAAAACAGACAGACAGACAGACAGACAGGACAGACAGGAAGACAGACAGACAGACAGACAGACAGACAGACAGACAGACAGAGAGAAAAGCTATATTCATCTTACTAACTGCCTCATAACAATTCCTTTTCTCTGTCACCCATGAAATACTCTTAGAGATTGGCCCTCCTTGGCCTTTCTGTGAGCGCTAGATTAATCCAATCCAATTTAACTGAATAGAACACATGAGCATTTTAGAGGAACAATATATTCAATTGACTTACAGCAGCACTGCGATGGTTAAAGCTGCGATACATTGAATAACTATTACAATTTAAGATACATAACTTTAATAGCAGACCAGGGCTTTGATGAGCCTTAATGAGCTGAACTTTTAATGATGGAATGTAATACTTTAATGCACACCGATTCACATAATTTGCTGACTGAATTTCTTTAACTAGGGTTGTTTTTACCTCAGGAGAGGGAAAGGAGGAGAGCATTAACTGGGGGAGGCATCCACCTCTCCTTCATCCTCTACCTCCCCTTCCTCTACCTCTCCCCTTCCTCTACCTCTCGCCTTCCTCCTCCACCTCTCCTTCCTCCTCCACCTCTCTCTTCCGACCTCCACCTGGATGACTTAAAACTGCCCATACTTATAAACTATAGCCATTCTCCGAATAACTCTCCTTTCTAGCACCAGGTTTGATGCGTTCCTTCGAGCATGCCAAAACTTTATACATTGAACTTGGTAATCTTTAATCACACCCTCTCCTTAATTTGCATCCGACCTATTCGCTCTTCAACTTCGCCGTAATCGCTCTTTCCTCAGACTCTTCTTTCATCCTAACCCAATCACCATGCTCCTTACTGACCACATCCTACCCTCTCCATCTCCTTCTCTTCCCTCTCTGCCCCATCCCATCCGACACAGTGACGAGACACAGCGACCCGACACAAGCGACCGACAACAGCGTCCGAACTCAGCGATCCGGACACACAGACCCGACAACAAGCGATCAGACACACAGCGACAGACAAAGCGATCCCCGAACACAGCGATCCCCGACAAGGATTCAGAACACACGCGATCTCAGACACCACAGCATCTCAGACACCAGCGATCCCGAACACAGCATCCACACCACACATCCCGACACACACATCTCAGACACCCGATCTGCCACAGGTCCCCGACACACAGCGATCCCCGACACAGCGTTTTCCCCTCCACAGCATCCCCGCCAAGCATCCCCCTACACACCAATCACCAGACCACTGACCACATCCACCCCACATCTCAGCACACCTCTCTGCCACACATCCCAAACCCACCGGACCAACACAGCGATCCCCGACACACAGCGATCCCCGACACACAGCGATCTCAGACACACAGTGATCTCAGACACACAGCGATCTCAGACACACAGCGATCTCAGACACACAGTGATCTCAGACACACAGCGTTTACAGACTTTTGATATTTGACAAGAGGTCAATCAGCTCCGTCAGCTTAGAGACAGACTCTGGCTTTGAGCTCTACATGTGGTGGAATTTATCTAAAGCCCCAAAAACTGTTTAACCATCTCACATTCATTTATGATCTCTGAGTCTTCACCCCTTTATAGAGTTTACAGCCCAGAGGTAGAGAGAGAGAGAGAGAGAGAGAGAGAGAGAGGAGAGAGGAGAGAGAGAGGGAGAGAGAGAGGAGAGGAGAGAGAGGAGGAGAGAGAGAGAGAGAGAGAAGAGAGAGAAGAGGTTTAAATAAACATAGTTAAATTGGAGGGAGGGCTTACCCTCAATTCCCAGAATGCCTTTCTGTTTGTTCTCTTCAGAAAGCTCAAACTTATCAATGACATCCAGACAGTACTCTGTAGTCACATTCACCATCTGAGGAGAGAGAGACACACTGTAAGAACACACACCCACACAGACACTAAATAAAGAGAGGAAACACAGTGAACACATACACACAAATACAACAAACACACACACAAATAAACATACACACAGACACACATAGACATACACATATGCACATATTTTTATGTGACAGACACTATCAGAGAAAGCAAGCCGCAATCTGCCAATCAAAATAGACTTCTGAGAGACCTCTGACAAAATGCTCACAGTATTGTTGTCTAGACTGACTCTGAGTACTGGTGTCTAGACTGACTCTGAGTACTGGTGTCTAGACTGACTCTGAGTACTGGTGTCTAGACTGACTCTGAGTACTGGTGTCTAGACTGACTCTGAGTACTGGTGTCTAAACTGACTCTGATTACTGGTGTCTAAACTGACTCTGAGTACTGGTGTCTAGACTGACTCTGAGTACTGGTGTCTAGACTGAATCTGAGTACTGGTGTCTAGACTGAATCTGAGTACTGGTGTCTAAACTGACTCTGAGTAATGGTGTCTACACTGACTCTGAGTACTGGTGTCTAGACTGACTCTGAGTACTGGTGTCTAGACTGATTCTGAGTACTGGTGTCTAGACTCACTCTGAGTACTGGTGTCTAGACTCACTCTGAGAACTGGTGTCTAGACTCACTCTGAGTACTGGTGTCTAGACTGACTCTGAGTACTGGTGTCTAGACTGATTCTGAGTACTGGTGTCTAGACTGACTCTGAGTACTGGTGTCTAGACTGACTCTGAGTACTGGTGTCTAGACTGACTCTGAGTACTGGTGTCTAGACTGACTCTGAGTACTGGTGTCTAGACTGACTCTGAGTATGGTGTCTAGACACTTGAGTATGGTGTCTAGACTACTCTGAGTACTGGTGTCTAGACTGACTCTGAGTACTGGTGTCTAGACTGACTCTGAGTACTGGTGTCTAGACTGACTCTGAGTACTGGTGTCTAGACTCACTCTGAGTACTGGTGTCTAGACTCACTCCGAGTACTGGTGTCTAAACTGACTCTGAGTACTGGTGTCCAGACTCATTCTGAAGCTCTGTCAGGTTGGATGGGGAGGGTGCTGCACAGCTATTCTCAGGTCTCTCCAGAGATGTTCGATCAGGTTCAAGTCCGGGCTCTGGCTGGGCCACTCAAGGACATTCAGAGACTTGTCCCGAAGCCACTCCTGTGTTGTCTTGGCTGTGTGCTTAGGGTCATTGTCTTGTTGGAAGGTGTTCCTTGGCCACAGTCTGAGGTCCTGAGCGCTCTGGAGCAGGTTTTCATCAAGGATCTCTCTGTACTTGCACCGTTCATCTTTCCCTCGATCCTGACTAGTCTCCCAGTCCCTGCCGCTTAAAAACATCCCCACAGCATGATGCTGCCACCACCATGCTTCACCGTAGGGATGGTGCCAGGTTTCCTCCTGATGTAACGCTTGGCATTCAGGCCAAAGAGTTCAATCTTGGTTTCATCAGACCAGAGAATCTTGTTTCTCATGGTCTTAGAGTCCTTTAGGTGCCTTTTGGCAAACTCCAAGCGGCCTGTCATGTGCCTTTTACTGAGGAGTGGCTTCCGTCTGGCCACTCTACCATAAAGGCCTGATTGGTGTAGTGCTGCAGAGATGGTTGTCTTTCTGGAAGGTTCTCCCATCTCCACAGAGGAACTCTGGAGCTCTGTCAGAGGGACCATCGGGTTCTTGGTCACCTCCCTGACCAAGGCCCTTCTCCCCCGATTGCTCAATTTGGCCGGGTGACCAGCTCTAGGAAGAGTCTTGGTGGTTCCAAACTTCATCCATTTAAGAATGATGGAGGCCACTGTGTTCTTGGTGACCTTCAATGCTGCAGAAATGTTTTGGAATAGTTAGTTATGTAAAATGTTTCTAAAATCCTGTTTTCGCTTTGTAATCATGGGGTATTGTGTGTAGATTGATGAGGAAAATGTTTTATTTAATACATTTTAGAATAAGGCTGTAACGTAACAAAACGTGGGAAAATGGAAGAGGTCTGAATACTTTCCGAATGCACTGTAGAGAGGATGGTGCCTCAGAGACAACCCATATTAGGAGTGAAAGTAGATTGGGACCTCCTATGTGTGCATGCGTTTATGTGTAATCATAGAATTACATACAGTATAGAATCCCTATTAATTCAATAGGATCTCTGTGGGCCTCGTAAAGATTTGTCATTTAACTTTTAAAGTGTATTACATTTTATTGTGGCATAAACACAACCAGTCATGATGTTTTCATCTGATTGTCAAACAATCCCTTCAAAGGGATCCTTTACTGGGCTACCCCCACACGTTCATCCACTAGAAACATATTTCCACCCTCCAAACAGTGGTGAATGGAACGAGACATCTGTTACACAAAACCCCACAAAGTGTAATGACATTTGGCGAATGTCATTAGGCCAGAATTTATGCGTCCACTGCTGTCCGCACGCGTCTCGGTGTCGGCCACCCATCTCTGCCTTGGCAAACTTTCAGTGTTCTCGTTTAACCACATTGCATTTTGGAGCGCAGGCTTTGACACCTGTTTTCAAGTCCATTCGCTCATTTGTCATGCCTCTAACATGCGGTAATGATAAAAAGTGGTGTAATAGCCGACAGTTTTCTTGACATTTTGTTTTCATTATTGTGATAGGCTCATGTTTTACCGGTGCGGAGTACCCCCACTATTTATTTTGCCGGGACGCCGTACCGGACAGTACCGCCTTACCTTCACTCCTGACTCTACTATAGATCACTAAATCTTCATCAATAGTGTTGTCTTTCTGTGAACCCTGACCTTCTGTTCGTTGCGCAGGAAGTTGGCCAGCTCGTCAGCCGTCAGGTGGTCCTTCCTGTCGCTGTATCCCATGAGCAGCAGATACAGGTCCCGCCGCAGTGACATCATCTTATAGAACACACTGAACTCCTCAAACGTCAACGTGCCCTGCTGGTCGTCCGAGTCCGCTTCCTGTGGGAAAGGGAAATTACATCACCGTTAGTGAGGGTCTGCATTGGTCAGGTGATACAATTCCAATTCGACCCTCTGTTCCAAACTGTTCCTTTACACCTCTTTTGTCTGTAACCATCGGGTATATTCACATACACACAGCTATGGTGCCTCAACATGGTCCAAACAACTCCAATAAACATCTGGTATATTCACATACACACAGCCATGGTGCCTCAACATGGTCCAAACAACTCCAATAACCATCTGGTATATTCACATACACACAGTCATGGTGTCTCAACATGGTCCAAACAACTCCAATAACCATCTGGTATATTCACACAAACACAGAGTGCGCAGCTGAACATTGTATGCTGTAAAACACTTTGTTGTTATTTTTGATTAAAACAAAAACGCTATTCATAAATACGAATACAGAACTTGTTTTTGCGTGAATTCCACAACGCGGTTAGCTTTTAACAGCTAGGACCACTATTTCTTGTCCCGGAATCCCGCTTAAGAGACAGGTTGAAGCCTGCTTGACAGAGACACTAAGCTGTTAGCCATCACGCTAACGAAGTTAGTACCAGATGAGTTTTGCAATAGAGCCCTCCTTGTCTGGAGAACTAAATGAATGTTTCCAGCGCTGTAGGAGCTGTATCTATTACGCTTTGTTTCGGGACAAACCGGATCACTCGGAGTTCCAATGCGGCAATTGTATACTTGCCGAGGATTATTGGCTTGAGGTGGCTTCCTTGATCACACAGGTCGCAGGTCGCCAGCCTACGTAAGAAACTGGGGAAAACGCAGAGTGGAATGTTTACATTTTCTACGCCAGTGGCTGGACGGCGTTCGCGCTTGTTGGATGCATCTCTGCCTTGAAGTTTGTCGTTATCCGACTGGCCGGTGTTGCCCGGAGCTCCCCCATTTGATAGCGCCATCGAAGGAGCACAGCATGAGGAGAAAGGCAATCAACGATGGTTGCATGTCAAGAGCCGTGGAAGCCGAAGACAGCGACCTCCCGCAAAGCAGTCTACACTCCCAACGAGAGGCCCGGAGCGGATACAAACAACGAATAGTTTCGCCGTCCTGGAGCCTGATCTTCCTGCACCTTCGTCGCTGAGGTTGCCTGTGTCTGCGGCGGCAGTGCCTACTACTACGATTTAGAAGTCGACGTCGGCAACCTTCCGTCCCTGCTCTGGATCGAGCTGGGCTTCTCCATCTGTCGGAGGCCTGCATCCTGTGAAGCATGGGATTTCCTCATCCACAGCCTGCTGTGATTTTGGGCAGCTCCATGGTAAGAAATGTGACCGTTCCTGGTGCAAAAACAATGTCCTATCCCGGAGCTCGAGTAAATGACAGTACTTAGATGCTCCTGAATGTACTAAGTCAGGACATGGAAATTGATTCTATCATAGTCCATGTGGTTTTAATGGCATTATGAAGGGCAGCTCTGAACAATTGAAACTGGATTTTAAAGAACTGATTGACTCTCTGTTAGACACTAACAAAAAAAACATAATATCTGACCTTGTGCCCTCTTTGAATCGTGGCATTGAACGCTTTAGCAGGATTCTTGCTCTTCACAACTGGCTACGTGATTATTGCAGCTCAATGGGTGTAACTTTTGTTGACAATTTCGATACCTTTTGGAAACAAAACATGTTTTATAAGGAGGATAGGATCCACCAAAGTCATTTGGGTTCCTGGATCCTTTCACAGCATTATAAGGCTGCGTTGAGACAATGACTTAGCAATGACCCAAGCCCAGCTCAGATAATCCCTACAATTGTGACGCAGTTGTCAAAATGCTTCAGCAAATGTACATTACACCAGGGGCGTCGGTAGACACAACATAAGTAACCTAATTTATGTCACTCTAACTGCCCTGAACGCCTCTGCTGATCCTACAGCTATTGTATGCAGTATTCATGTGCCTAAGAACCAGATTTATACTGTTAGCACTGAGCCGGTGTACCCGAGGAGGAAGGCCACTGTGTGCAGCTCACCCTGCACTAACATAAATAACATTACCACATCTACTGCTGCTAAGCTTCCCAGTAAAGCAATAAAAACAAGTAAGCATCCCAGAAGAAAAGTGCTCAAAATAGCCCACGTTAACATATGTAGCTTAAGAAACAAGGTTTATGAAATCAATAATTTGCTAGTAACAGATGATGTTCATATTCTGACTATCTCTGAAACTCAGCAACAACAAAAAAACATCCCTTTTTCAGGACCCTGTCTTTCAAAGATAATTCGTAAAAATCCAAATAACTTCACAGATCTTCATTGTAAAGGGTTAAACACTGTTTCCCATGCTTGTTCAATCAACCATAAACAATTAATGAACATGCACCTGTGGAACGGTCGTTAAGACACTAACAGCTTACAGACGGTAGGCAATTAAGGTCACAGTTATGAAAACTTAGGACACTAAAGAAGCCTTTCTACTGACACTGAAAAACACCAAAAGAAAGATGCCCAGGCTCCCTGCTCATCTGCGTGAACGTGCCTTAGGCATGCTGCAAAGAGGCATGAGGACTGCAGATGTGGACAGGGCAATAAATTGCAATGTCCGTACTGTGAGACGCCTAAGAGTGGTCCTCTGTAGCTCAGCTGGTAGAGCACGGCGCTTGTAACGCCATGGTAGTGGGTTCGATCCCCGGGACCACCCATACGTAAAAAATGTATGCACACATGACTGTAAGTCGCTTTGGACAAAAGTGTCCGCTAAATGGCATATCGTGTTATTTATTTATTATTAAGACAGGGCTACAGGGAGACAGGACGGACAGCTGATCGTCCTCGCAGTGGCAGACCACGTGTAACAACACTTGCACAGGATCGGTACATCTGAACATCACACCTGCGGGACAGGTACAGGATGGCAACAACAACTGCTTGAGTTACACCAGGAACGCCCAATCCCTCCATCAGTGCTCAGACTGTCCGCAATAGGCTGAGAGAGGCTGGACTGAGGACTTGTAGGCCTGTTGTAAGGCAGGTCATCACCAGCAACAACGTCGCCTATGGGCACAAACCCACCGTCGCTGGACCAGACAAGACTGGCAAAAAGTGCTCTTCACTGACAAGTCGCGGTTTTGTCTCACCAGGGGTGATGGTCGGATTTGCGTTTATCGTCGAAAGAATGAGCGTTACACCGAGGCCTGTACTCTGGAGCGGGATCGATTTGGAGGTGGAGGGTCCGTCATGGTCTGGGGTGGTGTGTCACAGCATCATCGGACTGAGCTTGTTGTCATTGCAGGCAATCTCAACGCTGTGCGTTACAGGAAAGACATCCTCCTACCTCATGTGGTACCCTTCCTGCAGGCTCATCCTGACATGACCCTCCAGCATGACAATGCCACCAGCCATACTGCTTGTTCTGTGCGTGATTTCCTGCAAGACAGGAATGTCAGTGTTCTGTCATGGCCAGCGAAGAGCCCGGATCTCAATCCCATTGAGCATGTCTGGGATCTGTTGGATCGGAGGGTGAGGGCTAGGGCCATCCCCCCAGAAATGTCGGGGAACTTGCAGGTGCCTTAGTGGAAGAGTGGGGTAACATCTCACAGCAAAAACTGGCAAATCTGGTGCAGTCCATGAGGACGAGATGCACTGCAGTACTTAATGCAGCTGGTGGCCACACCAGATACTGACTGTTACTTTTGATTTATTTTTATCCCCCCTTTGTTCAGGGACACATTATTCAATTTCTGTTAGTCACATGTCTGTGGAACTTATCTCAGTTGTTGAATCTTGTTATGTTCATACAAATATTTACACATGTTAAGTTTGCTGAAAATAAACGCAGTTGACAGTGAGAGGACGTTTCTTTTTTTTTTGGTGAGTTTACCTTTGATGATACAGTGGTAGCAATACAAGGTTATAACATTTACAGAAAATATAGAAATGCCAATGGTGGAGGTGTTGCTGTTTATATTCAGAACCACATTCCTGTAAAGCTTAGAGAGGATCTCATGTTAAACACTGTTGAAGTAATATGGCTACAAGTTAATCTGCCTCACCTAAAGCCCATCCTGGTGGGAAGCTGCTATAGACCACCAAGTGCTAACAGTCAGTATCTGGATAACATGTGTGAAATGCTTGATAATGTATGCGATATCAATAGAGAGGTATACTTTCTGGGTGATTTCAATATTGACTGGCTTTCATCAGGCTGCCCACTCAAGAGAAAGCTTCAAACTGTAACCAGTGCCTGCAACCTGGTTCAGGTTATCAGTCAACATACCAGGGTAGTTACAAACAGTACAGGAAATAAATCATCAACATGTATTGATCATATCTTTACTAATGCTGCAGAGATTTGTTTGAAAGCAGTATCCAAATCCATTGGATGTAGTGATCACAATATAGTAGCCATATCTAGGAAAACCAAAGTTCCAAAGGCTGGGCCTAATATTGTGTATGAGGTCATACAATAAGTTTTGTAGTGATTCCTATGTTGTTGATGTAAAGAATATATGTTGGTCCGTGGTGTGTAATGAGGAGCAAACAGACACTGCACTTTACACATTTATGAAATTGCTTATTCCAGTTACTAATAAGCATGCACCCATTAAGAAAATGACTGTAAAAACTGTTAAATCCCCGTGGATTGATGAGGAATTGAAAAATGGTATGGTTGAGAGGGATGAGGCAAAAGGAATGGCAAATAAATCTGACTGCACAACCGATTGGCAAACATATTGCAAATTGAAAAATCATGTGACTAAACTGAATAAAAAAAAGAAGAAACTACACTATGAAACAAAGATAAATAACATAAAGAATGATAGTAAAAAACTTTAGAGCACCTTAAATTACATTTTGGAAAAAAAGGCTAACTCAGCTCCATCATTCATTGAATCAGATGGCTCATTGAATCACAAAACCAACTGATATTGCCAACTACTTTAATGATTTTTTCATTGGCAAGATTAGCAAACTTAGGCATGACATGCCAGCAAAAATGGTTGACATTACACATCCAAGTATATCTGACCAAATTATGAAAGACCAGCATTGTACTTTTGAATTCCGTAAAGTGAGTGTGGAAGAGGTGAAAAAAAGTATTGTTGTCTATCAACAATGACAAGCCACTGGGGTCTGACAACTTGGATGGACAATTACTGAGGATAATAGTGGACGATATTGCCACTCCTATTTGCCATATTTTTCAATTTAAGCCTACTAGAATGTGTGTGCCCCCAGGCTTTGAGGGAAGCGAAAGTCATTCCGCCTACCTAAAATAGTAAAGTCCCCCTTTACTGGCTCAAATAGCCGACCAATTAGCCTGTTACCAACCCTTAGTAAACTATTGGAATAAATTGTGTTTGACCAGATACAATGCTATTTTACAGTAAACAAATTGACAACAAACTTTCAGCATGCTTATAGAGAAGGACATTCAACAAGCACAGCACTTACACAAATGACTGATGATTGGCTGAGAGAAATTGATGATAAAAAGATTGTGGGGGCTGTTTTGTTAGACTTCAGCGCGGATTTTGACAGTATCGATCATAGTCTGCTGCTGGAAAAACTTATGTTATGAATTTACTCCACCTGCTATATTGTGGATAAAGAGTTACCTGTCTAACAGAACACAGAGGGTGTTCTTTAATGGAAGCTTCTCCAACATAATCCAGGTAGAATCAGGAATTCCCCAGGGCAGCTGTCTAGGCCCATTACTTTTTTCAATCTTTACTAATGACATGCCACTGGCTTTGAGTAAAGCCAGAGTGTCTATGTTTTCGGATGACTCAACACTATACACGTCAGCTACTACAGCGACTGAAATGACTGCAACACTTAACAAAGAGTTGCAGTTAGCTTCAGAGTGGGTGGCAAGGAATAAGTTAGTCCTAAATATTTCTAAAACTAAAAGCATTTTATTTGGGACAAATCATTCACTAAACTCTAAACCTCAACTAAATCTTGCAATAAATAATGTGGAAATTGAGCAAGTTGAGGTGACTAAACTGCTTGGAGTAACCCTGGATTGTAAACTGTCATGGTCAAAATATATTGATACAACAGTAGCTAAGATGGGGAGAAGTATGTCCATAACAAAGCGCTGCTCTACCTTCTTAACAGCACTATCAACAAGGCAGGTCCTACAGGCCCTAGTGTTGTCACACCTTGACTACTGTTCAGTCGTGTGGTCAGGTGCCACAAAAAAGGACTTAGGAAAATTGCAATTGGCTCAGAACAGGGCAGCACGGCTGGCCCTTGGATGCACACAGAGAGCTAATATTAATAATATGCATGTCGATCTCTCCTGGCTCAAAGTGGAGGAGAGATTGACCTCATCACTACTTGTGTTTGTGAGAGGTGTTGACATGTTGGGTGCACCGAGCTGTCTGTCTGTCTGAGCTACTGGCGCACAGCGCGTGTTGGCACACAGTGTGTTGAGAAATCTGTAACTGCCTTAATTTTGCTGGACCCCAGGAAGAGTAGCTGCTGCTAATGGGGATCCATAATAAATACAAACACAAATACAAATACAGCCATGGTGTCTCAACATGGTCCAAACAACTCCAACAACCATCTGGTATATTCACACACACACACACAGCCATGGTGTCTCAACATGGTCCAAACAACTCCAACAACCATCTGGTATATTCACACACACACACACAGCCATGGTGTCTCAACATGGTCCAAACAACTCCAACAACCATCTGGTATATTCACACACACACACACACAGCCATGGTGTCTCAACATGGTCCAAACAATGTAAGGACAGAAAAGGCAACTGTGTTCTGACATTGTCCTTGTTTGGTTCATACAACAACTGACTCCTGGGGGTGCCCTAAAAAATAGTGGACTATAAACCAACAGTACTATCTGATGCTCATGCTCAGCACTCGCAGGCACGCCTGTCGTCCTAAATGGCACCCTATTCCCTACATAGTGCACTAGTTTTTGACCAGAGCCCTATGGGCCCATTATAAAGCCATAAGAGAAAACGTTAGCTAAAGCTTTGGATCTTTGGTGGGATTTGCTTCCAGGTAGCAGCAGGAGTACTAAGTACTACTGTCACAGTTGTCACTATCTGGCTAGAGAAGACAGAAGACTGATGCTTTCTAAGTCTAACCACTAAACCTTACCTTATCCCTGGATCCAGGATGTAAATAAACACCTTCTAACTGCTCATCACCTGCCAGGTGAGGTTTAGTGGTTAGAACGCATCCCTCTTCTGTCCTCTCTAGTCAGATAGTGTAGTGACAGGTGACAGGTGTTTGACCCCTGACCTGTGACTGACCTGGAACATGTGTTTGACCTTCCTGCGGGGCAGGTTGACGTTCATCTTGTGCAGGAGCTGGTAGATCTCCTCCATGTTCAACAGACCATCCCCGTTCTTATCAGCCTCCTCAAACGTCTGCTTCATCCACCTACACACACACAGGTTAAGGACACAGCCATGGGATGATGTGTGTGTGTGTGTGTGTCTGTGTCTGTGTGTGTGTGTGTGTGTGTGTGTGTGTGTGTGTGGTGTGTGTGTGTGTGTGTGTGTGTGTGTGTGTGTGTGTGTGTGTGTGTGTGTGTGTGTGTCTGTGTGTGTGTGTGTGTGTGTGTGTTTTGGGAGGGTAGGTAGCTGAGAGGCTTTTCAAAAACACAGCACCATGTTTTGTCAGTCGTCAAATCCAGTCAGATCAGAACAGCGCTCCAAGGCACACACACCGCATGCAGCAGACACACACACACACACACACACTGCATGCAGCAGACACACACACACACACACACACACTGCATGCAGCAGACACAGACACACACACACACACACACACACTGCATGCAGCAGACACACACACATACAAACAAACACTGCATGCAGCAGACACAGGAAGAAATGAAAAGAGGGAGAGGAACAAAGAAGATGTCAAAGAAGAGCATAAAAGTGGGTCATCCAGTCAACTGATGAACAATGCTGGTTAGGGGTTAGGTAGGGATGGCAGGATACACCCACTAGGGTATGAAGTGTAATAAGGATATTGGTGTGTGTGTATGAGCATGTTAGTCTTAAAAGGATATTGGTCGTGTGTGCGTTGTTGTTTGGCCAGTGAGTCCTCGTCACTGATGCCAGCCATCAGGTATCGTAGTCCTGTCACCCAGGTCCGAGCCTCCTCAAGGTTAGAGGTCACCAGGTCTAGTGACTCCATGTGGTTGCCATGGTAAACGGTGAAACAGCAGGCTGGGTCGAAACTGCTCTCCGCATGGCGGTGGAAGATGTCTGACTGACGGCCCTCCGTCACCTTGTACAGCGAATCAATGGTGACTGTAAGAGAAAGAGGGCGGGACAAGAAGAGAGAGAGAGGACCATTTAGAGTTAGGAGACAGAGCATGAATCTGAATACTGCATAGCACTGAGATATCTTGGGAATACATTAAGTAACTCTCCTTTGTGATCATAATGGATGAAAACAAACAAAATTCTATTAGGAGACAAAAACTAAAGCTAGGGCGCTGATAGTTTCCTCCCTTGTTAAATATTTAATGAAGGCCTCAATGAGGAGAAGTTAGAGATAAACACATAACCAGACAGACACTGCAGGCAAATAACCTGGATACCTTGAACTCACAGCAGCACTACTGTAGTCAACAACATGGCTTCTGTTTGACTCTGATACTCAGTCAGGACACACACACCTCCAGACAACAGACAGGAGGGGGAGCTATACTCCAGCCCTGGGGCAGCACCAGACAGAGAGGGAGAGCTATACTCCAGCCCTGGGGCAGAACAGCACCAGACAGAGAGGGAGAGCTATACTCCAGCCCTGGGGCAGCACAACACCAGACAGAGAGGGAGAGCTATACTCCAGACCTGGGGCAGCACCAGACAGAGAGGGAGAGCTATACTCCAGCCCTGGGGCAGCACCAGACAGAGAGGGAGAGCTATACTCCAGCCCTGGGGCAGAACAGCACCAGACAGAGAGGGAGAGCTATACTCCAGCCCTGGGGCAGAACAACACCAGACAGAGAGGGAGAGCTATACTCCAGCCCTGGGGCAGAACAACACCAGACAGAGAGGGAGAGCTATACTCCAGCCCTGGGGCAGAACAACACCAGACAGAGAGGGAGAGCTATACTCCAGCCCTTGGGCGAGCACAACACCAGACAGAGAGGGAGAGCTATACTCCAGCACTGGGGCAGCACAACACCAACAGAGAGGGAGAGCTATAACTCCCAGCCCTGGGGCAAGCACCAGACAGAGAGGGAGAGCTATACTCCAGCCCTGGGGCAGCACCAGACAGAGAGGGAGAGCTATACTCCAGCCCTGGGGCAGAACAGCACCAGACAGAGAGGGAGAGCTATACTCCAGCCCTGGGGCAGAACAGCACCAGACAGAGAGGGAGAGCTATACTCCAGCCCTGGGGCAGCACCAACAGAGAGGGAGAGCTATACTCCAGCCCTGGGCAGAACAAACACCAGACAGAGAGGGAGAGCTATACTCCAGCACTGGGTGCAGCACAACACCAACAGAGAGGAGAGCTATACTCCAGCCCTGGGCCCACCAGACAGAGGGGAAGCTATACTCCAGCCCTGGGGCAGACACACCAGACAAGAAGAGAGCTATACTCCAGCCCTGGGGCAGAACACACCCAGACAGAGAGGGAGAGCTATACTCCAGCCCTGGGGCAGAACAGCACCAGACCAGAGAGGAGAGCTATACTCCAGCCCTGGGGCAGCACAACACCAGACAGAGAGGGAGAGCTATACTCCAGCCCTGGAGCAGAACAACACCAGACAGAGAGGGAGAGCTATACTCCAGCCCTGGGGCAGAACAACACCAGACAGAGAGGGAGAGCTATACTCCAGCCCTGGGGCAGCACCAGACAGAGAGGGAGAGCTATACTCCAGCCCTGGGGCAGAACAAGCACCAGACAGAGAGGAGAGCCTATCTCCAGCCTGGGGCAGAACAGCCCGACGAGGTGAGAGCTATACTCCAGCCCTGGGGCAGCACCAGACAGAGAGGGAGAGCTATACTCCAGCCCTGGGGCAGAACAGCACCAGACAGAGAGGGAGAGCTATACTCCAGCCCTGGGGCAGCACCAGACAGAGAGGGAGAGCTATACTCCAGCCCTGGGCAGAACAACACCAGACAGAGAGGGAGAGCTATACTCCAGCCCTGGGGCAGAACAACACCAGACAGAGAGGGAGAGCTATACTCCAGCCCTGGGGCAGAACAGCACCAGACAGAGAGGGAGAGCTATACTCCAGCCCTGGGGCAGCACAACACCAGACAGAGAGGGAGAGCTATACTCCAGCCCTGGAGCAGAACAACACTAGACAGAGAGGGAGAGCTATACTCCAGCCCTGGGGCGAACAAACACCCAGCAGAGAGGGAGAGCTATACTCCAGCCCTGGGCAGCACCAGACAGAGAGGGAGAGCTATACTCCAGCCCTGGGGCAGAACAGCACCAGACAGAGAGGGAGAGCTATACTCCAGCCCTGGGGCAGAACAGCACCAGATAGCTACACTGCCATCTGTAACTGTAACTCACCCCAATGTGAGACCAAAAACACACACACACGCTTTAATAGCATGGATAAAAGATGAACAATACATTATTTCACATTCCTACATGGGTTGTAGGAAGTTACATAAAGCATAGCCTAATTGTCTGTATTGCTCCGATATTGCCTATCGGAGCAATACATTATGTGTAGAGATAAGGGTTACGGTGAGAGATGGTGTGTATGATGCGGTTAATGTGTGTGCACTCACTCTTGGCCTTCTCGCTCTTGCGTGAGGGTCTCCATCGGATACAGGAGCGATGTTCGTCCAGGTAGAACAGTCTCACCAGCCCCTTGGAGCCAGCCTTCAACTTCACCATCTGGGTCCCCGACTGCATCACACTCATACATCGCTCCACTGCAGAGAGACAGACACACACACACAGGTCAATAGTGCACCATTACAAAAAAGATTCTGATCAACAGCTGATCTGGACCAGAATCAGGATGGGAACAGAGATGGGCCTGAGATTGAGAGAGAGAGAGAGAGAGAGAGAGAGAGAGAGAGAGAGAGAGAGAGAGAGAGAGAGAGAGAGAGAGAGAGAGAGAGAGAGAGAGAGAGAGAGAGAGAGAGAGAGAGAGAGAGAGAGAGAGAGAGAGAGAGAGAGAGAGAGAGAGAGAGAGAGAGAGAGAGAGATTAATTACTTGACACATTGGAAAGAATTAACAAAAAAACAGAGCCCTAAACAGAGACTACACAGTGGCAGAATACTTGACCACTGTGACGACCCACAATTAAGGAAAGCTTTGACTATGTACAGACTCAATGAGCATAGCCTTGCTATTGAGAAAGGCCGCCGTAGGCAGACCTGGCTCTCAAGAGAAGACAGGCTATTTTCACACTGCCCACAAAATGAGGTGGAAACTGAGCTGCACTTCCTAACCTCCTGCCAAATGTAACAAAAGTTTCTCAATACTTTGTTATATACCCTTTGTTGGCAATGACACAGGTCAAACGTTTTCTGTAAGTCTTCACAAGGTTTTCACACACTGTTGCTGGTATTTTGGCCCATTCCTCTATGCAGATCTCCTCTAGAGCAGTGATGTTTTGGGGCTGTCGCTGGGCAACACGGACTTTCAACTCCCTCCAAAGATTTTCTATGGGGTTGAGATCTGGAGACTGGCTAGGCCACTCCAGGACCTTGAAATGCTTCTTACGAAGCCACTCCTTCGTTGCCCGGGCGGTGTGTTTGGGATCATTGTCATGCTGAAAGACACAGCCACGTTTCATCTTCAATGCCCTTGCTGATGGAAGGAGGTTTTCATTCAAAATCTCACGATACATGGCCCCATTCATTCTTTCCTTTACACGGATCAGTCGTCCTGGTCCTCAATTTGTCTGTCATAGTTGACGTGTACCTATGATGAAAATTACAGGCCTCTCTCATCTTTTTAAGTGGGAGAACTTGCACAATTGGTGGCTGACTAAATACTTTTTTTCCCCACTGTACATTAAGTTGACTGTGACTTTAAACAGCTTGGAAAATTCCTGAAAATTATGTTAGCTTCTGATAGGCTAATTGACATCATTTGAGTCAATTGGAGGTGTACCTGTGGATATATTTCAAGGCCTACCTTCAAACTCAGTGCCTCTTTGCTTGACATCATGGGAAAATCAAAAGAAATCAACCAAGACCTCAGAAAAAAAATTGTAGACCTCCACAAGTCTGGTTCATCCTTGGGAGCAATTTCCAAACGCCTGAAGGTACCACGTTCATCTGTACAAACAATAGTACGCAAGTATAAACACCATGGGACCACGCAGCCGTCATGCCACTCAGGAAGGAGACGCGTTCTGTCTCCTAGAGATGAACGTACTTTGGTGCGAAAATTGCATGTACCTGGAGGAAACAGGTACAAAAGTATCTATATCCACAGTAAAACAAGTCCTATATCGACATAACCTGAAAGGCTGCTCAGCAAGGAAGAAGCCACTGCTCCAAAACCGCCATAAAGAAGCCAGACTACGGTTTGCAACTGCACATGGGGACAAAGATCATACTTTTTGGAGAAATGTCCTCTGGTCTGATGAAACAAAAATAGAACTGTTTGGCCATAATGACCATTGTTATGTTTGGAGGAAAAAGGGTGTTGCTTGCAAGCCGAAGAACACCATCCCAACCGTGAAGCACGGGGGTGGCAGCATCATGTTGTGGGGGTGCTTTGCTGCAGGAGGGACTGGTGCACTTCACAAAATAGATGGCATCATGAGGAAGGAAAATTATGTGGCTATATTGAAGCAACATCTCAAGACATCAGTCAGGAAGTTAAAGCTTGGTCGCAAATGGGTCTTCCAAATGGACAATGACCCCAAGCATACTTCCAAAGTTGTGGCAAAATTTCTTAAGGACAACAAAGTCAAGGTATTGGAGTGGCCATCAAAAAGCCCTGACCTCAATCCTATAAAAAATGTGTGGGCAGAACTGAAAAAGCGTGGGCGAGCAAGGAGGCCTACAAATCTGACTCAGTTACACCAGCTCTGTTAGGAGGAATGGGCCAAAATTCACCCAACTTATTGTGGGAAGCTTTTGGAAAGCTACCCGAAACATTTGACCCAAGTTAAACAATTTAAAGGCAATGCTACCAAATACTAATTGAGTGTATGTAAACTTCTGACCCACTGGGAATATGATGAAAGAAATAAAAGCTGAAATAAATCACTCTCTCTATTATCATTCTGACACTTCACATTCTTAAATTAAAGTGGTGATCCTCACTGACCTAAGACAGGGAATTTTTACTAGGATTAAATGTCAGGAATTGTGAAAAACTGAGTTTAAATGTATTTGGCTAAGGTGTATGTAAACTTCCGACTTAAACTGTATATCAAAGACATTGCACTCTAGTCCACGCTCCTGGCCCTGATCTAGTGTTGCAGAACTCCATTTACAGCTTCACACCCCACTGAGGTCAGGAGAAGAATAGAACCAAAGCATTCTGGGACGAAATAATCCTTTACTACTCTCCTCTGTGGTCCCCAGGGATGTTATGGTGGTGGTCAGGTCTATAGTGAGTGTTCCTGTGTGTGTGTGTGTGTGTGTGTGTGTGTGTGTGTGTGTGTGTGTGTGTGTGTGTGTGTGTGTGTGTGTGTGTGTGTGTGTGTGTTAGTGTGCGCGTGTTAGTGTGTGTGTGAGTGCATGTATGCTAGTGTGTGTATCTGTGTGTGTCAGATAAAAAGTGTCTCTAATACACAACCGTCTCTGAGCAGAAATAACAGGGATGGGTTTTACACACACACACACACACACACACACACACACTCACACACACACATACACACACACACACACACACACACACACACACACACACACACACACACACACACACACACACACACACTCACACTCACACTCACACATACACACACACACTCACACACACACACACATAGAATCCCGTATCTGCAGAACACAGACTGGACCAAAAACCACAATCCAATTAGTACTGGTTCTCTCTCTCTCCATCCCTCAGCTAATCTCCATTTTCAGAGGGATGGAGTGAGGGATGATGGAGTGAGGGATTATGAAGTGAGGGATGATGGAGTGAGGGATGATGGAGTGAGAGATGATGAGTGAGGGATGGATGGAGTGAGGGATGATGGAGAGAATATATGTGGCATCTCAAAACATGACTGGGGTTCATATAACACTGTTATTATTCAGTGGTGTGTGTGTGTGTGTGTGTGTGTGTGTGTGTGTGTGTGTGTGTGTGTGTGTGTGTGTGTGTGTGTGGACAAGTTTAACTATTCTTGTGGGGACCCGAAGTCCCCACAAGAATAGCAAACAAACAAACATTTGACCAACTGGGGACATTTTGTTGGTCCCCACGAGGTAAAATGCTATTTCTAGGGGGTTTAGGGTTAAGGTTAGAATTAGTGTTAGGGTTAGAATTAGGTTCAGGGTTAGGAGCTAGTGTTAGTTATAGAGTTAGGGTTAGGAGCTAGGGTTAGGTTTAGGGTTAGGGTTAAGGTTAGAGTTAGGGTTAGGGTAAGAGTACGGGTTAAGGTTAAGGTTAGGTTTTTGGGTTAAGGTTAGGGTTAGGGTAAGAGTACGGGTTAGGGTTACGGTTAGGTTAAGGGTTAGGGGTTAGTCAAAACCTAGACAATATGGCTAGATAACATCATCAAAACCTAGACCTAGACAATATGGCTAGATAATGTCATCAAAACCTAGACAATATGGCTAGATAACGTCATCAAAACCTAGACAATATGGCTAGATAACGTCATCAAAACCTAGACCTAGACAATGTGGCTAGATAACGTCATCAAAACCTAGACAATATGGCTAGATAACGTCATCAAAACCTAGACAATATGGCTAGATAACGACATCAAAATGCCACTTGCTGTTCTTTCAGTTCCTATGTGGATAACTCCAACTTATTTCCCTTTCCATTGTCTAAGCAGCCACCTCCCTAACCTCCCACACACACACACAACCACCTCCACAACCCCACACACACAGACAACTACCTCCCCAACACCCCCACACACACACCTCTCCTATAACCACACCCCTCCTATAACCACACCCCTCCTATAACCACACCCCTCCTCTAACCACACCTCTCCTACAACCACACCCCTCCTCTAACCACACCCCTCCTCTAACCACACCCCTCCTCTAACCACACCTCTCCTATAACCACACCCCTTCTCTAACCACACCCTTCCTCTAACCACACCCCTCCTCTAACCACACCCCTCCTCTAACCACACCCCTTCTCTAACCACACCCTTCCTCTAACCACACCCCTCCTCTAACCACACCCCTCCTCTAACCACACCCTTCCTCTAACCACACCCCTCCTCTAACCACACCCCTCCTCTAACCACACCCCTCCTCTAAGCGTGTTGTAGTGAAGTCAGAGCCCACTCTATACCTATTCTCTCCAGGTGCAGTCCAGAGCAGAGCAGAGCAGAGCACATCACTGATGTGGTGCAGCTCACTCAACCCTGCTAGCTTACATAAAAATGGCATTGTTACCAGCATTCAGTTACATACACCTGAACAACCACCTCTCACAAACACAGTTTTACACACACACACACACACACACAGCTATCAATTACCTATGCTATATTGCTACCACACAAGTAGCAGCTTTCTATTGGGATCACCAGTGGTGTTTGGAGAGACAATTAGAGCCAGCAGCATTATTGGAACAGAGGTCAAAGAAAGTGTTTTACCAGTTCAGCTTCCAAGCCATCAGTTGAATAAACAAGTAAACTCCATTTTCCACTTCATTTTGAGAAACTATGTTAACAGTACACAACATAATTAACACAGGCAGCTACTGTGTGGTCACTCTTAGAGCCACTTAAACCAACACCTTGTCTTAGCAGCGGTGTGA